TCACCAAAAGAAATGATGGGGATACCTCCAAATGCATTATTACTTTTGAAGATTTGTTTAAGTCTAGCATTGATTGAACTAAACATTCGTGCCCCTACCATTGATATTTCATCAATGATTATTAATTATAAATCAATGATTTTTGAGTATATTGAGTTAACGACATCATTGCTAAGTGGCCGCAACTCTAGACTTGATTGATTTACGGGAAGTGAAAAGATAGAGTGAAGTATTAAACCATTTATTCCGAAAGCTGTCTTTCCTGTAGGGGCGCAAAGAAGTACTTTCAACGAACTTGGATTGGTTTCAGGAACAGAGTTTAGCCGATGGTTAAGAGTCTGATATATTGCATATATCAAACGACTCTTTCCAACTCCTGCTCCACCTCCCACAAACTCATAACATGGCTGATTATCTTTCATCTTGTGCAGCATATGTGTCAAATATGTTCTGTTTCAAATTTAGGCTACGAACTAAAGAAAGAAGGTTTTCTACGGGGATCAAAGGTGGGAGTTTTATTAGTCTTACATTCCCGCCTGAGTCCCCATCATTATTAGATGGATCTCCTTCATTTAGATCTAGCAAATTCAAGCCAGGGTGTATTTCGGGAGGTGCTAGAACCCTAAACTCGTTATCTACAACAGGTGGGTTATGTTGCTCAATTGTTTCAACATCTACTTCATCGCGAAGATGATTTAAAACATTTTCGAGCTCTCGTTGATCGAAAACATCATACTTTCTTCGATTTTCCTCTATTGAAACATGATTTTCTACACAAGTTTGTTCGTTATCATTTTCAATGAGGCCCCGATGTTCATCACGCCATGGATGGTAAAGTATTACTATTTCCCGGAAGTAATAACTTCTGGCGGTATCGGGGCTAAATCGTCTCTCAGAGGAAGAGCATTCCCATGTCCGAGGAAGTCGTCAGCCTCCCTACCATCTTCATCATCAACTCTACCTGCTATCCTTATGGCTGACTTTACATATCGTCGCTTGGCGCGCAATACCTCGTATACGCCAAATGCAATACCTCGTATAACTGGAAAAGGCAAAAATTGAGATTTTCTCAAACTATGTCTACGGTACTCAATCTCATTTATTTAGGCAAAAATTTTGCTATTCGGACAACAACAAAAACAAAAAACCGTATACTGCAATACCGCGAATAAGAACATTAGCAAAACTGTGATAGCAACATCAAGTATAGTTGACTTCATTGTCTTTAGTCAGCAGTATATCTTTGTGGAATTGACACGCGGTTTAACAAAAATATTTTTTATACAAATATTCCAATGGGTGACAACAAAACTTCGCCGCATTCTCGTGGAATGCTTTTATCACCATTTGTTTCAAATGGGGACCATAAAAACAAATTTTTTTACCAATTTGATGAATATGATGGTATGTTATATATACATATATGTAAGTGCAAAGAAGAATTCCAATAGTTGATCTTTCTTGAAATTAACAGAAGGGCTCGGGGAGCTTGAAGGAATCAAACCATCTCTTGTAGCTTACTCATTGACATCAAGCGACACCATTAGCGAGGTAATAAAAACGTATTTTTTATTAAAAAAATGTAACTACTTATTAATTAATTTTAATTTGATAAACTTAGGTCTCCGTTAGCCATTTCAGCGAACGGAAATCAGATTCCACTTTGCCAGTTGAAAATGAGCACTTACTTCAAGCAATAGATGACTTTCAAGCGACCTCTGATAGTGTTGTTTCTACAAAATGTGGGACGGTTGATACCAAAGCAATGGATTGGTCGACATGCGGTACCAACAACAACAACTGTACCAAACCAGTTATGGAAGGTGAGAGAGGGGATTGCGATTTCAGTGAGCCGGTTTCCGTTGATCACACACCGGAAAGAGAACTATTGGAAGGTAGCGTAAATAAAAAAAAACGAAATTGCAAGCGTTCAGCAGGAGAGAGAAAAAGGGAAAGTAATAAAAAAAAGAGAATGATGGGTGAAGATTATTTGGGATTTAGACGGACTCACAAAAAAATATGTCACGATGTTGCTCGCAGGAAAAGAGAACTAAAGGCTGCACGTTGTCCAACCACTTGCGCAAAAAGTAAAATTTCCTTTTGTGATAAATTTAACGATGAGATCAGGCAACAGATTTTCCAAAGCTTTTGGAAAAATATGAATTGGAATGAGAAAAAAACATATGTAAATAACCTTGTAGATATTTCTAAGGCAAAGAGAGCAAAGAACAAGTCAAGGCGATCAAACACTCTTACTTATCATTTGAGGCTTAATAATGATAGATTAAGAGTTTGCAAGAACATGTTTTTGAATACCTTGAGTTTAAAAGAGTGGACAGTTTGTTCCTGGACTATTCTTCCAGCGGTTAAACAAAAGACCCAAATTTATCCCTAAAAAGAACTTTTGTTAAACAGTTTTTAGATTCTCTCCCAAAGCTTCCTTCCCACTACTGCAGAGCTTCTTCAAATAAATTATACCTTGAGCCCGTTTTTAATACTCAGAGTCAGTTATATAATACGTATAAAATTGAAGCTGAACAACTGTTGCAACCTGTCGCTTCCAGAAAAGTGTTTGATAGTGTATTTTTCAAAGAAAATTTGGGAATATTTAATCCAAAAAAGGACGAGTGTAATATATGTTGCGGTTTTAAAACTAAGAATATATCGGAAAAAGAATATAATGTTCACATAGATCGAAAAAATACTGTTAGAGCTGAAAAATGTAAAGATAAAACGTTGGCTCTTAATGGTGAAATTCATTTGATAACAGCTGATTTACAAGCTCTAAAATTATGCCCAAAATTAAATGCTAGTGCTGCTTACTACAAAACCAAACTTGCTGTTCACAACTTCACAATATATAATCTGGCTACAAAGGATGTTATGTGCTACTGGTTTGATGAGACCGAGGGTGATCTGAAATCATCATCTTTCACAAATTTCTATATTGATTACATTACGTCAATACTATGTGAGGACCCCAAACCAGTAGTAATTTACACGGACGGGTGCACATACCAAAACAGGAATACTGTTCTTTCCAATGCTTTGCTAAGACTTGCCATGGAATACAAAGTAGATATTTTTCACAAATATTTGGAGAAAGGGCATACCCAAATGGAAGTAGATTCTGTTCATTCAGTAATTGAAAGGATATTAAAAAATCAAGAAATTTATTTGCCAAGCCAATATGCCCTGGCGACGCAAGGGGCGCGTAGAAAATCATTTCCATATAAGGTTAAAATAATTGATCATTCATTCTTTAATGATTATAGTGATCAGAAGTCATTTATATATGAGTCTATACGACCCGGCCGAGGATCAGGGGATAATGTAGTTGTTGATCTACGAGCGCTTCATTACTTGCCTAACGGTACAATTCGGTACAAACTAGACCTCAAAAAAGACTTCATCCCATTACCCCGTCGACCGAAAAAAAAATCCCTCCAAAAGAAATTTAAAAAAGCTTTTTCTATCTCGTTTAAAAATAAAAAAAAAAAGAAATTTCAACATTTACAAGAACTAAAACAAGTTTTACCTAAAGATTGTCACAGTTTTTACGATAGTTTGCCGTATGAAACCTAACTTTTACATATTTAATGCCTAATATTTAATAATATTAAAAAATATTTTTAAGATAATTTGTAAAATTAACTATCTAATTGCAAATAAACTGGATTACGTTGCTATCTTTGTATATATTTTCAATACCGCGTATAAGATTGAAATGAAAAATATCGCATCAGCAATACCACGTACATGAAAAACAGCGATTTTTACAGCTTTTTAAAATCCTTTCTTTAAGATATTGCCTCCACAATATTGATGATACCACATTCTAATAGTAAGTATGTTCAGTTTATAAACAATCCAGTACTTTTCAAAAAAATCAGTTTTCTTGCTCTCCTGTAAAATTTCAGTACCATTGTATACGAGGTATTGCATTTGGCGTATACGGGGTATTGCGCGCCAAGCGACGATATGTATTATGTGTACGTGGGTGGAACGAGCCGTGGTGAATAGGCGATTAGGCAGGGTTGCTGCTGTTCAACGGAGCCATTCACGATCGAAAAAGGGGGAACGGCCGAACTCATTAAGCCAATAACAAAAAAACAAATAACTTATTACTACCGATTAGCTGAGTGAATTTTTTAACAAGAGCGCTTGAATTCTCTTCTCTTATAAAAATCGGCGGAGGTTTGGCATTAGTAGGTTTTGCAGCACCTTCAGAAATTTGGCTATTCACATCATCGGCATTGTCACATAGCAGTGCAAATCTATTAGTACTGACTTGCTGAGTTGAGTTTTGGCAGTTTATTTTTGTCTTACTGCCCGTTGAATTTTGCAAACTAAGTTTTCTTTTTATTGTAACATAGCGGTCTATTCCAGCCTTTTTAGTTGTTTCGTTTTTCAACTTTTCTTGCGCTTTACCTTTGTTGCCAGCAGTCGGCAGATACCGGTGTTTTTATTGTTGTTGTTGGCGCGACTGAGATAGTAAAAGATGTCACTGTACTAGTTGTTTTTGCAGCTATATTTGGGGATATGTTATCGCTTACCAAATTTGATGTATGCGTTGGACGTGAAATGTGATACGGCACAGGTGAAGCGCACTCTTCACTCTGAGACATCGGAGTCGTCAATGGTAAATTTGTAGGATAAGTCCGTTGACTTGAATCTTAAGGGGTTTGAGCGTGGTCGATGGATTGGGCTTTGCGCTTTCGCTGTCACTCTGGGACCGAATAGAGAAATATGCGTTGTTGCGTTGAACTGAAAGTCGGCGGTCAGCTTGACTCATCGCTTTCTGTTTTCAATTGGTTTGTTCGTTTATTTATCTTTACTTTTATTTATTTATGTTTTTTGTTTTATTAAATTAGCACAATATTTAATGACTACGGAGCGAACTTAAAAAACGTCCGCACTCTTTGACGTTCCGAAGACTGAAAATACTTAAGGCAATGAACTTTGCTAACACAGTTGGTTAAAATAAAATTAGCATAATATGACTTATGATGAGAAATTTTTATTATTAAATCTTTTCCATCAAATGAATTACATACTTTACAAATTTTCATAATTTTCACAAAGCGCCTAAGCTTTTTTTGATTCTTCATTATATTTTTTGTGCCAATCCAGATTTTGTTTCACTACTGAATCTCCACTTTTTGCAGCTTGTTTTCCACTGTATACCATTATACAGCAACCCACAACTGTAAGTGCCATCATTATATTTGCCACTCGTATGCGTATCTTATTACGACAGCGCTCCATTACCTCATGACTGTAAAACAAAAAAAAAATAATGATTAGTATGGATTTTTGCGCTTTATAAAAAGGGTATCGTGGCGAGCTACCTTAAATAGTGTTGACTGAGTTAAAACATATATACAATAGACTGCACTTTAGTTGTATGGAGACATTTTTTTGTCAAGATACAAAGCAAGACTCCCCCTATAAATGTTCCTTTGGTCATAAAAACGAGACATTCGAAAAATTAAAAAAATCGGAAAACGGAAAAATGTGCCTCGATGGCCCTAAAGTTCAACCTATAAGTCAGTGGGAAATTTAATAGGTTTTAATGGAACTTGATGTAGTTTTTTCCCCCGATGTCAAGTATGGCCACAATATTTTTAAACCTTCCCAACTTTTAAAGTTCTTGGGGGTTTTGACACGTAAAATTACAATTTTCTAGGATTTCAGAAGTTAAATTTTAGCTCAGTAAATTTAAATCAAATTGGTACCAAGAAAAATAATAATTTGTAGTAGCGAACTTTTGGCGCAGTTTACTTCTATTTTGACACGTAGATCATAGATCCACAGTCTTACCCCTAAATTGCATACGGGAAAATTCCGCCATCTTGGATTTTAGGTTTTTTTTTGTGTTTTGGGATTTGCAAGCTTATTTGGTTTTTTTTTTTTTGTTAAATGTCGAGACTTAAATTTCCCATATTTCCTATATACCAGCTTTTTTAAATAATCACTTTTACTGTAAATAATTAGCAAAATGTGAAAAAAATTTACATTGTCACGGTTTTCGCCATTTTTTCAACAATTACTGTTGAAAATGCGTAGCATATTCAAATGCCAAAGTTGCAGAGAATTTTGTCTTTTAGTGCTGGCTCCTCCTGTGGCATAAACATTGTAAAGCAAAATCTAGTTTACAGTTAGTTTAGATCCGATATTTGAAACGCCATGTTAAATTTTTTCAAAAGGCCACATTGTTTTCAATGGGGCACATCTATGGGATTATTTTAAGACCTTAATTTTTTTTAATCCGTCCTATATAATTTTGGCCATCGTACTGTAACCGAAACCGAAACCGTGGCAATGTTAAAATTTTTCTACTTTTTGCTAATTATTTACAGTAAAAATTGTTTTTTAAAGGCTTATATATAGGAAATGTAAGAAATTAAATTCTTTCAAAATTTTTATTATACTGTTTTTTACGTAGTCCGGGAGCTAGCGACAGTAAAAATGTGCCGATTTTATCGTCAAAGACAACATATCGGGGACTTAAATTTACTGCTGTAGATTGACAAACAACAACACTTACAGGTAAAAATAATTAGCTTACATCGCATCCGCGGGACAAACCTATTGTAAGTGATCGGCGAAGTCGCCGCCTCACATAGGGACGAATCGAGAATATAGGACGACAAAAATGTTTACTCAATATGTATTTGACAGATTTCAATGGAAGTTGGTATTTAGGGGTTTTCATTATCACTGATTTCGAAATATATATTAAACTAGCTTATACCCGCGGGTTTCACCCCGCGCTTTTATGCAAATAAGAAAAATATTAGATTTTATTTCTGTGCCCATTTCGTTATAGCTCGTTATTTTTTAAGCGAGTTAAGGTATTTAGGCCGTTTAAAACTATGAAATTATAAAATCTCGTCTGCGCGCTAGGCATACGAAAGATATCAATCCCTCTAAGTTTACCTTAAAATGGTTCCAGGTATACGACGCGTAAACATGTAACCTTCTTGGAAGTGTCACGGCGGGTTCTAATATTTCCAACTCAAATTTAGGAACCTGGCCTTGATAAAATACCACTTCTCATTACTGTAGCAAATGCCTCAAGAGAGCTTTAGATTATAAGGCCGAACCCGGCTCTCCCTTTTCCATTAAATTAAATTTTTTCTATCAGTACGGCACTTATAAAATAACAAATTTAAAATACTTCCAAAGATTTTCTATCCTTCCAGAGATATGTATTAATGTTTAGTATGTATGGGAGGCGACATGCCTCCTTTTTTAATAACTCACAATTTTACCATGAGCAATTGAAACATTTTGTATACACAACTCCATACCAAGTTCCAGTATTCTTCCACAAACACTTCCAGGGATATGTGGCAAGAAAAATTCAATTTGCACAGAAAGTGCCACGCCCCTTTTTCTTATAACCCTAATCTTCTTTCATGAATTTAGAATTTATTTTACATACCCCAGTACCAAGTGCAGTACTCTACCATGAACACCTCTAGGGATATGCAGTATAAAAATAAATTTGTACGGGAGGTACCATGCCCCCTTTTCGAATAACGCAAATTTTTCTCCATGAGTATGGAATTATTTTTGTGTACACATCTCGGTGCCAAGCTCCCGTCATCTGCAATAAACACCTCCAGATATATATTTATTTTTTTTTTTGGGATTTGGGTAGGTTGGCCGGTTTACAGTGTAAACCACCGCCAGGTTATTCCTCTGCCTTCAAATATGCCTCTTTGTATATAAACATCCGACTGCTGTGTCCAAGGTTGCTCCACTGATGCATGAGTGATAATACCACTGAGGGCCAGAACCATATGTAACAGTTTCTGCTTTGCTTGAGTCCTTTTCAATTATTTATTTTGTATTGTTGTCAAATTGGCATATTAACCCTTGAAGACTTGCATTATTGAGTCATGTGTAGAAACGGTGTGTTGCTTGAAACGCTTTGTTCATCAGAAACGAAGGATTTGGAAAGTTGCGTTAAATCCAAAATTAGCGCCTGTGTTGCTGTCAGTCCCAATTTAAAACGAAAGGATTTTATGAAGTGGCAAATCCAAGAGGTACGAATTGATGATAGTGAATAGTAGGCTGCATCAGCTTAGCAGTTTCCATGCATGAGTGAACTTCATGCGGCAATCGTTTGATTTACAGTACGTTTGCGTATATTCGGCACGCGCGAATTGTGAGGGTTTGAGCGTAGTGGGTACGGATTGCTGTAACTTGAAAGTTATTTACGTATATACATAGTAAAGGAAAAGGGGTTTGAATTGACATGAATTTTTTACTTTAAAAGTTTACATTGGCTTTTTGAAAAAAATTGGAAAGTTGCGTAATCTTGGCAGTGTTGCTTCCTCTAAAAATTTCTGAAAAAGTTCCGTGGTTTTGAAAAATCTCAAAGTTGGATCGCAAGTTCATGAGCCTTCTACAGTGGAAGGTCTGGTGCACGTAACCGTCAGTCTGTCCACAACAACATTGATTCGTTCTTATTGCGCGGATTTTGCAAAGATACGCCCTGTCATACGTATGACCAGATAGTACACGGTTTAATCTTTTGACCTCAGCAGGGGGCAACAGCAGTTTCCTGAACCACGTTGTCTTTTTCGTCGTTGGGAAAGTGGAAGCAAAGAGGTTTGGGTGTTCATCCGAGTAGGCTTTGAAATTTTCATACCATTTTGCGAAAAGGTCGTCTTTTAACTGCCTATAGGCTTCGTCCATGGTGAGTTTGCAATTTCTACTGGGGCTATTTCTCGTTGCACTTTTCGCAACTTCGTCCGCTTTTTCGTTCCCTGGTATGCCTTTGTGGCTGGGCGTCCACACAATGTCTGTTATGATGTTAAGTTCGGAAAGTTTTCTAAAAATTCTGCAAGCAATGCTATTCGTCGGTTTGGGTTTGCTAAGAATTTGGCAAGAGCTCAAACTGTCCGTGAAAATTACCAGTTTTCTGACACTTTTCCTTCTTGCAATTTCGATAGCCTCCTCAATCGCGAGGAGTTCACCGAAAGTGGAAGAAGTCTTGAGGGGAAAATGAAAGGCATGTTCAGATTTGTCAGCAAGGTCATACACACTACATCCTGTCCTTTCGTCAGACAAGGACACGTCAGTGTACATCACCTGGAAATCGTCAGTCAAGTAGTTGTTTAGCAAGCTGGCATGTTGCGCTCTTATAATTTCCGACGTGGTGGATGCTTTGTTATTTGGCAAAACATTGTTTACGATTTTTAGGTTGGGGGAGAGAGAACATTGGTCAATCTCATCAAGACAGTCAAGAATGTGTTGGTATTGTCGATAAACCATCGAGTAACTTGATTTTAGGTTTGGATTATCGGTAATAAAGGCTGCAATCGGGTCCTTATGGGCAAAGATTTTCACCAGCTCTTTTGCTGTAAGCCATTTTGCACGTTCTGCAGGTGGTAGCTCGTTTGCGAGGGCGTAAATAATGGGAATAGGAGTTGATGGAGTGAGACCAAGACACCTTCTTAAAAATTTATTTTGGAGCACCGATATTTTATTGAAAGCTGTCTTGGAGCTGTTAGCGGCTGTGGTGTAACCGTACTCAATTTTCGACCGTACCAATGATTTACAAATGTTTAAGGCTTTCTGAGGATGTAATCCTGACTTAATATTTGTTAGGCACTTAAAGAATTTAATGTTTGCCGGCCGCGGCTTCAACTGTGGCAGCGTAGTGACTATTGCTGGACATAGCCATATTCAGTGTTCTACCTGGAATTTTAACTTCATTGACCTGTTGTATCCTGCAGCTATCGACCAGGATGTCTATAGCCTTTTTCGATCCTTGGGAGATGTGCATAACATTGGTTTTAGAGGGGTTGAACGATAAGTTGAGACGGTTACACTTAGCAATAAACAGATTCAATTTCGACTGCATGTTGTTGACTGCTTCCTCAAAATTGTCCCCTGCAGAAATAAGAAAAGCCATCCGCAAATTGATAGATGTTGGTATTGCAGTCACCCAAATTGTGGAGATTCGCGGTGTAAATGTTAAAGAGCATGGGGGATAATACACTACCTTGCGGTAGACCATTTTGGATTTGTGTGACCTTATCGCCCAGTTGCAATATTCTGAACGAAAGGAAGTTTACAATCCAGTCAATATAAAGGCTTTCTATGTCCAAGCTCCTGAGTAGATTTTTGAGAATATTGACATCAACACAATTGTAAGCATTTGAGACATCATAGGTGCACAGGATTACATGTTTTTTGTTGCTTTTTAAAAGCTGTATTTGGTGGATTATATGGTTTAAACAAACTGAGGTGGACCTATTTTTCCTGTATGCAAAGGTGGAGTAGGGAAGGACGCTATTTACTTCAAGGAACTCATATATTCTATCTTTAACGCACGTGTTTATAGTTTTTAACATAACCGAAATGAGTGAGATTGATCTGAAATTTTGGTACAGACTTAAATCTTTACCCTTTTTGGGTATTGGAACAATCTTGATTGTTCGCCAATGGTAAGGGATTTGATTTGTTAAAAAAATATCATTGATAGAAGTCCTAAAAGAGTTTAATGTTTGGTTCGATAGCGCCTTCAGCATACTGTATGAAACTCGATCCACTCCCGCAGCTGTGTCTTTCTTTTTGCGCAGAACCTCCTGAATCTCCTCGAATGTGATTGCCAGATCATGACATGGCTGAATAGAAATGTTGGTTTCCTCATTTGATGGTTGTGCGGCAACCTGCTCCTTTAGCATGTCTAAATAAAGCTGGTTGTTTTCTTCGTTCCATTGACCCTTACAGTCTTGGCTGTAATCCCCTCTTAGCGCCCTCACAAACCTCCAAGCTCCGCTTCCCATACCCTGATTTATTTCCTCTATTTTACTATTAAAGTTATCCTTTTTTGCTCTTTTTACCTCCTTTTTCCATGTTTTTTGTTGTTCGATGAGACCCTCCATGTTTTCCGGACTTGGACATTGCTTGACTTTTTTAAAGGCAATAATGAGGAATCTGTAAACCTTAGCCAAATCCTCACTCCACCAGGATTTAGGTAACCTATTATTTTTGGTAACAAAGGTCGCCCTACTGATTTCTTCTTGTATTTTGGGCTCCAATGCTTGAACATTTGACTCACACTCAACTTCTCCCAGGACTTTTAGGAGTTTTCTTTTGGCAGTGAACTTCCTTATGTTTTTAACTATTTCATTTGATTCAATGGTTATGGGGAAGTGGTGACTTCCGCCAATACGCGTGGAGTCCACTGACCACTTACACCGCATAGTGCTGTTTGTGAAGGTCAAGTCAAGCACTGAACCACCCGATGATCTAATATCACTTTTATAGGTAGGGCTGCCGTCATTAAGACTATGAAAAAAGGATTGTTGAATGATGTTGGTCAAATGTTTGCCACGGTTGGAGTCCACACTATCGCCCCAGGCAAAGGCTCTAGCATTGAAGTCACCCATCAAAAATACGTTATTAAAAGGTTCTAGAAACACTAATATTCTATCAATTTCATTGTTGAAATCCCTAATACTGAGGTTAGGTGGAAAGTATGCACTACAAATAGTGATATTAGGGTTGAGATTTTTGGTCTCAATCAAAACAATGTAATAATCAGAATGGAAAGTGATTCGTTTAAATAAAATGTCATTTTTGATGGCAATGGCAACGCCACCATAGCCATCAGGGCGATACTTCTTAACCAAGGCGAATTTATATTATTTATATATTTATATTATTATTAATTCGCCTTGTTCTTAACCAACTTAAAATTTATCAATTTCCTGTGTGGAGTGCGACTAGATAAAAAGATTTCGCTAAGGCAGGCAATGTCGATTGCATATTTGTGAAGATAAAATTCTAAAGAATCTAAATTAGCACGCAGTGATTGACAGTTATACTGTAATAGCTTCATTTTGTATAAATGGATTTAGTGATCCCGTGATCTCAGTCTCATCTCTTTTTGCTATAATTGTTTCGAATTGATTTTTAAGGCACTGTATCCCTTCAAAAAGTTCAGTATTATTATTCTCAATAGAAATTCGTTGTGTGATTCTTATCATCTCTGTTATGAGCCGTTCAAATTGGGACACTAGACCTTTTTGGTACTCAGGTGAATTGTACACCGGGTTCCCAGGGGATTTAACTATTGTCCATCTAAATGGCTCTCTTACCGGTGGAGGAGCTGACTGGGTCGCACCTCTTTTCGCAGTCTGGCTGTATGTCCTTTTGGTGAAATTCCTGTTTATATTATTTTCTCTATCCACAACCTCAGTATTTTGCGTCGGCAAAACAGGAAAAATCTCATCGTCACATTCTAACATGCTAAACCTATTATTTCTAGGAAAGTATTGATCCAATACTTCCTTCCTGGACAATTTCTTGACTGTCCTGATGCGATTGACCATCTGTTCCTTCTCCCAATGAGGACAGTTTTCTTTATTCTTAGCTGAGTGGCCCGAATTACCGCACAAAATACAGACATTGGTACTACATGAAGGGTCTTGGCATTCACCTTTACCGCACATAACACACCTGTTTTTGCCCTTGCATGACAACTTGGTGTGATCAAGACGGCCGCAATTGTCACACTGTCTCAAGGGAGGAATATAAAAGTCCACAGAGAGCTTGGTATAATTATAAATTAGGGCTATTCGCGATTCGGTGCATAAGAGCTGACAAATTTATGAAATTGCAGAAATATGCCATGGATTGTGAGCGACCTTTATTAAACTGTCATGGTAAAGCTTTTGCAAAACAATTTTTGTGCATCAGCTTTGGTTTTGTTTATGAATGCAATGCATAGCATTTTTATGCTATGGATTTTCGGTATTGCAAATTTGCCAAGCCATGACAAATGCAAATGCGTGTATTTTGTTTGTGCATTGCAAATTATTTGCAATACAAATTTGCAATGCAATGATGCTAGGCCATTTGCACCGGATCGCGAATAGCCCTATTATAAATTTGGGGATGTCATCTCCCGCAAAACCGATTTTTACTGTGGTTGTAGGCATATATGCATTGCTCGTTACATCTTTTCTATTAAAGCGTCTTACCGAGCATATCGGAATGGTAGACCTAGCCTCATTTTTGATGTTATTTTCCTCAAAGCACGTGGGTATACCCCTTACTACCCCATAAATTTCTAAGGCCGTTCTGGGTATAAACGGCCTTAAGCCTCTTTTGATAATTCTTTTATCGCTTATAAAATTGTTGGCCGCAAAGGTGTTTTTGAAAGTAACTTTATATAACGTTTTGCCAATGGCAGTAATTAAGTCCATGTCTTTGACTCTTAAATCTTTAATTTGACTGAATAAAGTCAGACCAGTTGAGACTTTTTCGTTTGTCATCTGTGTGTTGACTGATGCATCAACCAAAACAAAGATTTCACCCTTAAAGTGTTGAGGGTATAACACTGTGTCAGTTTCGTCTCTTGTATGTTCACTTGGTCTAACTGTATCACAGCCACCTGCGTTTTCAGTCCCGTTGCTGTCCCCTGCGTCGGTTTCAACAACCATGCCGTTATTTTCTTCTACAGTTATTTTTTCACTACACTTTTTTCCATCTTTTCCCTGTAATCTTACTAGCCCTCCACTAGCAGAAAGCTCATAAAAACCCGAACCAGCGTCATCATTGCTGATTTTTTGTCTTTTGAAATTCGGATCTTCATTTTCTTCTTCTAAAGACGCCACCGACCATGGAATCGGCGACGCCATTCTACTCATTTTATTAAGCGCCTTTAGCGGCACTTTTTTCTTTTTATTCACAGGCAACTTAAGATTTTTCTTCACACACTACCACAAAAAAAACAAAGAAAAAAGGAAAATGTTTGCCAAGATTACTCACCCAATCCTTATGCTTCCCCAGATTTATTGTTTAAGACGAAAACGCTTTAATTTTACTAAGAAAAAATTACACGCGCACAAAAAAGCCAAGACAATTTACACATCGCTTTACTGCACTGTACTTTACACAGAAGTTTTCAACAGGAGGACGCGCACGACCCACGCACGCTCACCGCCAAAATCCGAATGCCTCCAGAGATAGGCGGCATAGAAAAATCAATATGCATGGGAGTTGCCACATCACCTTTTCCAATAACTCTCATTTTTCTCCATGAGTATGGTATTAAGAGCGAAATACACCACACAAGCGGCTTGTCAAACATACTTTTCCCATTTTGCCATAGACCATGCAAACATGAGTCGTTCAAGCACAGAATTTTAGTTTTCT